CTGAGTGCATGTGTGTGGGTATGTGGGTGTATGAGTGCGTGTGAGTGTGTGTCTGTGGGTGTATGAGTGCATGTGAGTGAATTTGAGTCAGAGTGCGTATGAGCTCTGGTGGCGTAATGCCTAAGGCATTTGACTGCTAACCAGAACGCTGGTGGTTCAAACCCACCAGCTACTCCTCAGAAGGAAGACTGGGCAATCTACTTCCATAGAGATACCACCTCGGAAACCCAAGGAGGGCTCGCTACAAGTCGGATCCGACTCGATGGCAGTGAGTTTGGTTTTCTTCTGTGTGTGTGAGTATGGGGGACAGTTTGGGTGGAGAGGAGAAAATTAAAAGTTCTCTTTTGTACTAGCCTCAGAAACGTCACACTTTTGTTGCCATGTGGGAAATTTCTTCCAATCCCTTTTGAAGATAAGGGCCGCCCTGCACTGCTGGTGGGAAGGGAGCAGCCCAGCCCCTATGGGGGACAGTCTGAGGGTGACCCAGCGCCCACTCCCAGCTGTGTCCCCCGAAGAGAAGGCGAGAACACAGACAGGAACCCGCCCATCAGCTCTGGGGCACTTTCCCCAGAAGCCCAAAGCTGGCAACAACCCGGTGTCCATTAGCAGGTGATGGATCCACACAGTGGGGTCTATCCACACCCCGGACTCCCACTCAGCCCCCGAGAGACGTGATGCCCTGGTCACGGCCCACCAGGGATGGACCTGGAAGGCATCCCACGGAGTGAAATCAGTCCGTTGCTAAAGGACAAACACTACATAATCCCCCTTCTAGGAAGTAAGCAAACCGACAGACCCAAAGGCCATCAGTGGTGGCCAGGGGGAGGGGAGAGGAGTGGGCCTGGGGCCGTGAGTTCGTGTCCCTGGTGGTACAATGACAGGGCAAAGCACGGGGAAGCCGGCTCTAGGACCTGAGGAACAGACTCAACATCGCTAACAGACACGTCCAGGCGCTGACGCAGCACAGGCTGTCAGGTGTCTTTACCATCATCGAGACACGCAGACAAGACCCACCTGTCGAAACAGCTGCCGTGCAGCAGAGACTTGGCGTAGCTGTCCATGGACGTGACCGGGTCCTCCCTCCTGTATCCTTGCTCGGTTTCGTCCAGCGTCACGAAGAACGCCGCCTTCTCCACGGCATCAAGGGACTGCTTGTTTTTCCCACGTGCGAAGTAAGCCTGGCGGCACCTGGCCCAGGGCACCCTGCGGGAAGGACGGCACACGGTCAAACAGCGCAGTACGCGGGGCTTCCGTGCACAGCACGAGTTTCTCTTAACCCACCTGTGTTTCCCGCCTGAAGGCACTACCCGGCTGCCGTGTGCCGAGGCCTGGCGTGTTCCTGCATCTACCCCACAGCAGAGTGCAGGTGGCGGCAGCCATTTTGTTCCAGAGCCCGAGTGAGTGACAAGAGCCGTTTGGTGGTCTGCAGCAGTGCCGTCCCCCTCCAGCCCGTCCCCAAGGGCATCTTGCCGAGTCCCGGCAAACGCGTGTGGGCACTTCCCTGGTGCTGCACTCTGCTCTAAGCTTTCTGCAGCGGCAGACGCACCGAGCTTCTCAGCCCCACCACGCCCATCTTCCAGGTGGAGAAACTGAGGCGTGAGTGTGGGTCCCTGGGACAGCAACTCTCTGCAGGGACGTGCCTGTTCCTGACGACACAGCCCTGCTGTGCAAGTCCACAGCACGCTTCTCGGTGCCCACCCAGCCTGGGATACGCGGAGCGGACAAGGTCTGCTTCTTGAAAGCCTCCCGGCTGAGCTCCTGAGGCTCTGCCCCCAACCCCCCGCCCCCCACCTGACGTGTTTGTCCCTCGAGATCGAGTCTCTCAGCCCCGTCCCCCACTTTCTCCTGAGCCACCAGCCCATCAGCACAGTGGGTGCTGACACAGACCTCCTGCCCCCACTGCTCTCCTCGGGGCCAGGGATGACGGTGACAAGTGTCCTCAGCGGTTACTCTCCCACCTCACAGACCGGTGCCTCAGGGGTGGATGGATGTGGCCGCAGAGCCAGAGTGGGTGTCGGGCCCCAACCTCGGTGGCACCCCTCCCCCTCCGCACCCCCACTGCCCCGTCCTGCCGCCTCCATTCCACGGACACCTCAACTCAGCGTGCTGAGGGGTACTGACCTCCCCACCAGGCCTCCGTGCTGTTCTTTTCTGCTCAGTGACTGCCACTGGGACAGCGGACGGTCCTTCTGCACCCCTCAGACCCACTGTGTGGAGACTGAGAAGGGCCCGGCCGCCGGGCCCCTGCCTCCCACCCGACTCCTCCGTACAGACCTGCTCCCAGAGCGCCCCAGCCCAACCCACTGCTTCTGACTTGAACCTCCCGTCTTCCCGTCAACAGCCCAGCACGTTAACTGTAGCACCACCCACGGCATTCAGCCGAAAACTGTCACATTAACAACACAGGCTGCAGGATCAAAGCAAACACAGCAAGAAACAGGACCCTGCAGGCACCAACCGGCTCCGAGGGTCCCAACACGTCACGCTGCCCACCATCACGCTGTGGGTCCCATACCTCGCCCCAGGACACCCTGCACCTCACCTTCCTGGCTCTCCTCTGTAAGACAGAGCCCACCTGCGACCCCTCCACCCAGGGCAGAGCCGTCCCGGGTGGCCTCCCCACCCATGCCTTGGTCTAGACCCCATCTTCACAGTGCTGTAACTCTGTGGCTCTCCACCAGGGGGCGGTAATGTCCACGGCCGTGTCCTGCGCTGGCTGTAGACACAGTTGTCACAACTGGGAGGGCAGGGGCGCTACCCACATCCAGGGGCAGAGGCCACAGACACTGCTTGCCCCCCCCAACACAGGATGGCCCCACAAAGAGTGATCACCCCCCAGGTGCAGAGCCATGGTCGAGAAGCCCCGCATAAGTATTTCTATGAGCTGAGGCCTTGAGTCAACAAAACCCTCCAATCGGCTTTCCTTATCTGAGGCACAAAACCAAACCCTCACACCAGGGCCCTGGCTTAACTGCTTTTACTTGTTTTCTAAATTAATAAATTGATACCCGCAGCCCCGTGAAGCAACAACTCCTTACTTCTCTGTGCAATGTCCCCCCAGTAATTATGATCCACAGGAGCCCTGGGTGGTGCAGACTCATGCCCTCAGCACAGCCGACCAGAGGTGCCGTCTAAGAAAGGCCTGGAGACCCAGTCCTGAAAACGCAGCCCCTGAAAACGCCATGGAGGCGACTTCTGCTCTCACACTCACGGGGGCGCCGTGACTTGGAGTCAACTCAGTGTCAACTGGGCTGAAGTTGTCTGTTTACACACCCTCCTGGGACGTACGGAGAAGGCACCCACTGTGTCCTGACTGCCCATCACAGGCCAAAAGGCAGTGAGGGCTGGAACAGCACATTACGTGGCCACAGACACCAACCAACACCCTCCAAAGCAGACCACTGGGTGCAGAAGGGAACTGTAAGGAGCATACTAAAGCCAGAACTCTGCTGACACAAAGTCAGTTCCGACTCATGGTGACGCCGTGTGTTCCATAGCAGAACTGCTTCACAGAGCTCTCTGGGCTGGAATCTGTGTGGACAGTACATGCTCAGCCTGTCTTCCTTGGTACCACGGGGAGGGTTCGAACCACTAACCTTTTGATTAATAGCTGAGTGTGAAGTGTTTGTGCCACCTCCCCCCCCAAAAAAAAACCCCCACTGTCTCACAGCGCCCCTAGAGGACAGAGTGGAACTGCCCACAGGGTC